AAAATATGCTATAGGATGACTTTGTACAAATATAATTTGAAAAAAATACACCTTTGTGGATAATCATAACATAATGAGTAAAGGTTTAACCCCACTGTTTTCTCACCCCTTACCTGGAGGACAACTGCAAATAATGTCATTGATAGCATCAGTACAGTTTCCATCATTTTGGCAGCTCATGGTCAGGCAGTCATCTATTGGAATTGTGCACTGTGGACCCTGAAATCCTGTTCCCTGGTAAACAAAGTAAAAATAACACTTAGCATCCCTCATGATGTTACTGGGCAATAGTTATATTATTGGGTGAGTGTGCACCCCTGAAAGGAGGAGTAATTAATGACGATGAATTGACAAGGAACTTAGAACCAGGAGTAAACAAAGTACAATTTCTGTATTTTTCATTTATATTGTACTTTTTTGTAATTTGTTTATTGGTGATAGGTATTGATCAGTTTTATTTCTCAGTGTCTTTTAGATTAAAATGACACTTAGAAGAGCATCAAAAGCACACAAAATACAAGAATTTAACTATCAACAATATAAATTTACATAAAAGGTAGTTTTATGAAGTACTGCTTGATATAATACTGGACAGCATCATTGATGGACGAAATTGTTTGTATTTGCATGCATATCCTGTTCTAAATAATTCAGGTTAAATTGGTTATATTGGAAATCATAGTGTTTACATCACATACCTCACATACACACTCATAGGTGTTTTCTGCATTGAAACACTGCCCATTGTTAGCACAGGGACGACTCTGACAGTAGTCAACAGGGCTTTCACACCTAGAATAACCATTATAGCTCATAGCAATGGTGAACAAATCAATAATCAGATAGTATATGGTAATGTATCTTTATAATATCAAAAAGTAAAAACCGTAGAAACCATAGAATGCATTTATCCTTCTATAACAAGCTGCACAATTATTCACCAAAAAAAATATAAAACCAGGAAATTAAAATTGTTTTCAATTATTTTCCAAGGAAGAGTGTTTTGATAACATGTACCTTGCTCCAGTATATCCTTGGAAGCACGCACAGTCGTATGACAGGAAGCCATCTGTACATTCACCAAACATGCATGGATTGGAGGCACACTCATCTATGGGAACCTCACAGAACCTGCCAGTAAAACCTAGAAAGACAAATATTACTATTTAACATTAAGAAATTTGCTTTAAATATAAAATATATACAATAAACTTAAGTAAAATGAAGCACTTCAATGCACTATCAGAACTGGGCATGATTCAAACCCATACTGAAAATGTTTGAATTTAATTGTGCATGCTTCTCTCTCTCTGTCGCACACACACACGCATACACACACACACACACACATACACACACACACACACACACACACACATTAAAGTGTGCATGCACTTATCTTCAATATGTACACACTGACATATACTCACCTGGTGGACATGTGCAAATGTAAGATCCAATGCCATCCACACATGTTGCATTGTTTTGACAGTCGTTAGATGAACATTCATCAATGTTAGTCTCACAGTTTTTACCTAAAATAAGGCAACAAAAATTTTTAAAAAATAATAATGAAGTAGCACGGGTTTCTCTCCTTCTTTCTGCAAACACATAAAATAAAACATAAAGAAAAGTGAACAAAGCTTAAATGTATCTTGTGAATATCCCTAAATCCAGAACCAACAACCACTAACCTGTGAATCCTAACGAGCAAAGGCAGGTGTAATATCTACTAAAACTGTTACAAGTACCATCATTCTGGCATTTGCTGGGAGTACACTGATCAATAACTGAAAATGAAAAAGATTTTTTATTATTCTTTACAGATAATTGATAATCACAGATAATATATTTTAAAAACAGGCATTTTTAAAATATTTTTGTCACTTTTCAGATGTCATTCTAATGAAACTGCCAAGTCATTAGTTTTAAAACTCATATTGGGAGCTATACAATTGAAAAACATTTATCTATTTTATAATAACTTAATGATATACGCTTTTACAAACACCAAACAAAATAAAAGAAAACTACTGCAAGTAACATATTCACAGGGGTTTAACCATTAATTTTCAAGATATCATACCTTTGCAATCACTGGATTTATTACTCCCCATGGAGACAGTAGCCAGTTGTTCTGAGCACTCTTGACACACAGTGGAACCAAACAAGTCAGCAAAGGTATGTCTTGGACAAGGAATGCAAGGAACCAGGCCTGAACTGCTGAACGTTCCAGGGTTACATACAGCTAAAAATTAAAGGAGTTAAACACAAATTTAGGAAAAAATTCCTTCCAAAATATGTTGCTAGATTCTAATCAAACCTAAACGTATGCAAGATTAGACAAATAATAATCTTTTCAAAATATATTCCTAAATTCTAATCATACCTGACCAAATACAAGATTTAAAAAATATTTCCAAGATATATTACTAGATTCTAAACAAACCTAGTGTGTTTAGCTGATTGCGCTTAAAACAGTATACAAATGCTATATAGAGGCTAGACTAATTAAAAAGAATGTCCACGTGGCACAATTGCATTAGGGCATCTCAACAAAACACAAACCTTTACACTCCTTTTCTAACACTGCCCCAGCAAACTGCGTGGTGGTTCCTGCACTGCACATTATGCAATCTTTAGACCCAGTGTTAGGCTGGTAAGAACCTACTTCACACCTACTGCAAGGCTGTAGTGCATTCTTTGAGAATTCCCCTTGTCCACAATAAGCTAGAAAAAAATATAAAAATTTCAACTGTATTCAGTATACCAACATATATATCAATTTATCTTGCCAATGCAGCATTTATAAACAGTTCTTAAAATCAATAATCTGTATCACATAGTTATAACATAAGGCTAAAAAATAAATAATGTAAAAAATCTGGATGGCCACACATATATTTTAAATGCCTACATGGTCAGTAAGGTCAAATACCTATACAGTCAGTAAGGTTCTTGGCTCCATCGTATCGAGTTGAGGTTCCTGAAGGACAAACTGTACAGTTGGTCTGTCCAAACTGGTCCTGGTAGGTCCCTCTGGGGCACTTCATACAGGTGCCATTGAAGGCATAGAAACCTGCTGAGCATTCAGCTGCAAGAGATCATGATATAATCAAGGCTGTGTGTCCTGAAGTCTTGAAGTTTGCAAGCTTCAGATTTTTTAAAATCTAAATTGCTTGTTGAAAGTAAGAGGGTGATTAATTGGCATGAAAGTGGTTTTGATCAAGTTTTGGATACTTTTCTCTAAATGTCCAATGTTGATTTTACTCCAAGCATTGTATATGAACACTTTATTGTCATAATTTTTTAAAATTACATTACATGATTCAATTTGATGCCATACACACTTTTTAGATGATAAATCTTTCAGCTTCTGAAATATATAACTTTTTTTTCAAATAGTTAGTTCATAACTGTGCACTGAAATTTATAGGATATCAGTATAAAACATACCACAGAAAGAGCTTCCATTCTTCACTGTGACCACCTGGCCCATGGGACAAGAGTAGCCTTTTGTAATATTCGGAACACCGTCCAGGTTCAGGTCATTGCAGCCAGATGTAGTAACATTGATGACGGTCAAGGCAGTAGAGGACAACAGGGCATTACTGATGAGTTCTGCACACTGCTCTGTCTGACTGGCCTGAATATCTGCTGTGGGGTCAATGAAGGACAGGTCTATGGAGGTGTCCAGTCTCAGCTGCAATAGCAATAAAAAAGTAAGTAAGAAAGAAATTAAAGAGTATTCTATCAAAATAATGAAATTATCCTAAATATAGTATTTTTTGGTAATATGTATAATATTATTGAAAAGAATAAGTATTTTGTTCACATTAGTACCGGTATATGGGTTATTCAGACAAGCAACTTTTCATTATTTCAGATGTTTATGTAGCCAATTAACAGTAACTTTGGATTACCTATATGTAATTCCTTCCCATTTATTTTTTACTAGCTTTCACCCCACTGTTGGAGGCTCTTGTCAATTCTATTGTGTTCATAAACTATTTTTCCTTACCCCATTTGTGAGTGCACTGGATCCTAAAGATTTTGAAGTCTTGTTCAGTTCTCCAAAGCCACTACAACTGGTTAGAGCCAGCTGGGTCAAGGCTTCTATCACACTTGCCTCATATGTAGGAGTGCACCCTGCTAGAGAGGGCACGGTAAAATCCAGAGTAATTTGGATGGTAAACTCTGGGAGGTTTAGGACTGGAATGGAATGAAAAATAGCATTTAAAATTATAATTTCATATGAAACAGAGAGGTACAGTTGTGTGTGTGTGTGTGTGTGTGTGTGTGTGTGTGTGTAAGCATGCATGCAGACATGCGAGAGTGCCCGCATGCAGTGCACATTCAAAGAGAAGCACTAGATTGCCAGCAAAACTACTACAGTGGAAAATGTTTATATATAGAACATAGAACATCAATAAATAAAAGCAATTAATCCAAATTGCAGCCACCACAATTTGCACATATTCCAACAATGTTATCAACTCACATGAACAGTCTGGTAAGAATGGACTAGGAGACCATAGTCCTCCAGAGGTGCACTGACTAGGTCCTGGATCCTCCACTGTCAGAGAGTATCTTGGTCCCTCACACAGTATAGTACACAACAAAGCATCCAGGCCGCTGGGCAATTTGTCACTAACACAGCTCTTGTTTCCATTCTGAGGTGGTATTAGGGTCCAGTCTGGGCATCCAGCAGCTGAAAAATCAATGTTGGACATCCATGCAGTTATGTTCATATTTATGAATTTGGATATATCTTGGTGCAACTCTGCTTGAAAACAGTGAAACTGACCATATGGGAACTTTTTTCTATAAAATTTTTCATTCTGATTTTCCTGTGGATAAATTTCTTATAAACAATCAACCAAAACTTTCATTTAATCTCTTTAAATTAAAAAGCTCTGTGGAGTTATTTTATATAAAAGCACTTCAATGTTACATCAATTTCAAATTAATGCAACTAACTAATCTAAAAATTACTTATAATCACTTTGCTATTTCTTGAAGAACTCAGAAACTTCAAATAAATCTTACGTTCTATCAGGAAGATAAAAGTGCAGGATGCATTGTTGCCTGCTGCGTCTATGGTTGTCACAGTGACTGTCATTGGTTCCCCAACAATAACCATGGTTCCATTGGGTGGATCATATACTACACTGGCTATTCCACTGTAGTCCCTTATCTGGACGGTGTCCAGGGGGTAGGAGGCAGGGACTTGCTGGACATCAGTGGTCACATTCACCATGACTGGGTTGGCTGGACAGTACATTACGGGTGGGTGGATGTCTATAGGCAAAAAATAATAATAATAATAAAATTAAAAGGAATTATAACATTTCTTTAAGTAATTGTATTACAAACAATTTTATTCCCTGGTTAAGATGTAAATTGTGCATTATAATCTGATGCAGTGTGGTATGGCTTACCTATTAGTACAACATTGACAGTACAGTTGGCTGCATTGCCTGATGGATCTTCAGCAGTATACGTCACAGTCATATTCTGGAAGAATGGATTGCACTATGAATTATGCCTCTTAAACACCTTCCTCATGTTTGTTTTATCTCAACTAACAAGAATAATAAAGATCTTGAAGGTTTATGCTATGTAAGGCTTCAAAAAGCATTTCAAATCTTAATGAGATAATATCATGTAAATAGATGAGGGAAAGTACTTCTATCAATTAAAATAAAGCATAAACAACTGAATTACTTACTTTCTTGAACATATAAGGTGATATTACTCTTGGTGGCAATGATGTGATTGAGACGAGACCAGAGTTATCTTCTGCTTGGGGCATGTCAAAGGTAACCTCCTCAGGACCATTCACTCCCAAAGTGATATTTATGTTCTCTGGGCATACTGTGAACACTGGCGGCTTGATATCTTTAAAAAAATTGAAAAAGCATGTCACTGATATTTGAATTTGGAAATAATTAAGGCCTTGATAAATAAACTGAGAATTGTACCAAACTGACAAATTGTACTAGGACTGACATTTTTAAAATAATAGTCATATGCATGCCAATTGTCATCAATCAAAAACTTTGTAAATCCGAAGTATAAAGCATTGCATAATAGCCATAGTATTTCACCCTGAGGTTTTCAAAATTTGATCCAACTCAGTGGTTAGTAATCAAAGGGATAACAACTGTTCATTTTGGCCAAAAAAAATGGATTTTCCTAGGGTAAATGACACTTTTCCCCTACTAAACAATGGTTAATGAATTCATTCCAACATTCAAATTTAGTCCCTGCTTTTTTTCTAAAAAGTTTGGTTTTTTTGTAATATTCTATAAAGAGATTATTACAGTGTAGCCATATATGGAGGTCACATGATGTGATGGCAAACACAAATTCCAAAATAACTGTATTAACCACCATTTTGGTGGTAAAATAGAATTTATTATATTTCTATGAGTAGTTTACAATGTATTTATTGTGAAATATGGATATCCTATGAACAGTTCTTATCACATTTACTTTAATTATCTGTTAATTTTTACCTAGACAGGTTGGGAAGGTGTCATTCCACACTAAGACTAATGGCTGGACAGCCACAGTGCTATTGTCTCCAATTACCACATTATTTGTCCCATTGCCATCTGTTGTCCTATTGATAGTGATATTTCCAACGTTTTGACTACTCAATAAAGGCTGAGTTATACTTCTCTTCTTCCTTCCTGATGGAACTGAAATTCAGCAATCAATGTGTTTTACTATTTTTTTAATATAAAATATTTGCTATTACAGAGCTAAACAAATTTCAATTCCCTTTTTTGTTGTTGTGATTTCTAAACAAATTAGCAATAAATAAATACATAGTTAAATAAATAAATATCAGATATCATACAGTGAAATTTCATTACCTGGGCACATCTTACAGGTAATAGGGCAGATGTGTCTGATAATATCTCCTCCAGGTAGTACACTGTTACAGTTCTCAGAAAAGTTAGCGCAGAAGGCCCAACTATCAATGTTATATGTGTTGCAGTCAACTAAAAAACAAATAAATCAACATGATTTCACATAAAAAACACTAAATACATACTTGTGCAGACTTATGGTTCAATGAGAACACAGACATGAAATTTCAGATTAAAGAGGTGATTATTTCTTTAGAAACAAATCACATTTTAAAAAATCACCAGTACATTTTCGTTATTTTTTTTTCATTTACTGTTATGCATAGTATCTATAATACAGATATGCTAAATGTGTATTTCAATGACATGAAGTACAGCTAATACATGACAGTTAAAAATATTTATATGAGTGATAATAATTTTTTTCATGGCACATTCCATTAAAATCTCAAGGTAAATTACAAAATATGTAAAATTATTACAGAAATAAAATGACACTGACAAACACACACACACACACACAAACACACAATCATATCAATTTAGTTCTTCATAGTTACAGTATCAGATATCCTTTTCTCTCTGCTACTTACACTGGTCACAAGTTTTCCCAATATAGAATTTGGAGCAAGAACATGAGCAGGAGTCATAGCTAAAAGTTCCTTCATTCTGACATGTTAAAACCTCTTCACAAGTGACTGAAATAGGATTAATACAATATTATTACTGAATAATTAAATAACTTTCAGGTAATTGAAATCTTACACACACACACACACACACACACACACACACACACACAAAAATAAATAAAGAAATCCTAGGATAAGATATATTCTCAGACCTATTTCAAATGTGGTCTTTTGTCTTATTCTTGACAAAAGTTCAATATCACAGAATATCAGACATTGATGTAAAGACCATTACATATGTAAAAAATCTTTATGCTCTCAAATATTATTTATTTTAAATGCACCTAACCAAAATTTTCCTCATGTTACAGAATTGGGAATTATTGGAAACTCTGCAACTTCATGACTTCCGATGTTTAAACATTTTACTTTAAATTTAGCAACTCCTCTTCCAGAAGGAGGAAAATTACCATTGTCATATCATTTCCTTATAGAGATCCAAATTTATCCTAATATGTTCAATATATTATCTTACCATTTTCACAGCGTAGACCTGTATATGCCACTGAGCACTGGCATGTACAAGTGGTGTAATTCATTGGTTGCCCATTCTTACAGGTAAATCCACCACACAAAGCTGAAAAAAAACATTTAAGGTAAAATATATACTGGACTGCTACTGAAATTTTGTATGAGGAGAGAGCTAGGTTTGTGGTATTCCTTCTCCCCTTCCATTTTTGCATTTAGTGTAATGGTAAGTGATTAAGAAAAATTCTAATTCTCATCTGTGTTTACAAATTTGTGTGTGTGTGTGTGTGAGAGAGAGAGAGAGAGAGAGAGAGAGAGAGAGAGAGAGAGAGAATGCATATATCTGTATTACAAGTATATATTTGAATTTGTTTACATGATAAGTATGTAGAAAACTCACTCACCACAGGACAAGTTTTTGGCTTGGCAGTACGGCTGTGTGGCTTTAAGTAAGAAAGAATTATGAATGGTTACAGCCAATGTTAGTGCATATTTTACATTCCAAGACAATGCCCCCCCCCCCCCATGTGTACTACTGGCTTGTTTTTGCTAAATATATTATATAATGACAAGTGTTTGAAATATTAAAGGAATTACAGATATTCTTAAACAGAACAATAACTTATCAATATGTTTAATATAATTTGTCAATGACCAGTTACCTTTGACATTTACACATAAAAAATATGTAGCCCTAGGTACATACCACATAGTTTGTCAGCAACTAAGCAGGCTTCTCTGTTATCATCATCTGTATTACATGCTGAGCAAGGCGTACCATTCTTAAATGGCATTTCATTGTACACTCCACCCGCAGCAGGTGCAGGAGGACTATTGAAATATAATGAATTTCACCCTGTGACTGTACTGATTGTATTTTTTACAAATAATGAAAATTAATCAATTTCATCAATCATTTTGTACATACTGTTATATGTCCAAGTGACTTAAATCTGAAGAGAAGTATGAAATATTTACAGTCATACTTCTTGCACATTGATTCAGTGAAAAGAATCACTGAAAAAGACTATAGATTGTATGGTTAACTTAACTATAATTTTTCAGGAATTTATAAGCTAATGATGTCAATTATGCTTACCCTGGTGCATATGCACAAACAGCTTGATGGACACCATTGAGACAATTACGCAGTGCACAGCCCATTCTTGAAGCTTTACTCCACACAAGCTAAAAAAGTTATATACATGTCAGTTTAGTTATACAAAATACACCACCAAAATTAAAAAAGAAGTTTTTCAGAAGTTAAAATCTTAAGTCCACTGCTTTTTTCCCCCTTTATTTACACCTAAAAACAGCATTTGGCCCTAGAAAAATATTTTAAAACTTCATATAGTGATATCTTATTTCAATTACTTCCCTGTTTTTCAAAAATTGACCTGCAAAAATTAAATAGCAACATGTCCTAACTAATTAGGAACTTTATCAAAAACCTCCTCCAAGATAAATCAACAAGAGAAATTTTGAATTCTTTCAAAATCTTACCTTGTATGGATCTTCCTTGCATGGTGTAACTTCACACTGTGGTTGTGTTGATATCCAGTCCTCATACAATGCTAAGATGCCTTCAACAAGAGTTTGGTTGCTGATATCAAGTGTGATAAGCCCTATGGATTCTCCTTGTTCTGTGATGACAGAGCCCACAGCAGACATATTACACATTGCTACCAGCCGTGCTGCAACACGGTCAGCTAGATACTCCGCCCAGACCTGAAGATGATATTTCATGTTATTCCTGCTTCCAAAACTTTTCATTAGTAAGGAATACAAAATGAGTGTACGAAATAACATCATTGTTTTGCAAAAGTGGATTTTACATTCAATTCCATGACAAAAGTCATAGTAAATGATACAGGTATATATATAGGCCAAACAGCATACAACAAGGTTTGGAAGGCACTAACAGATACATGTACTTTTGTATTTTGTAGTTTAATTAACAATGAACTGAATTTCTAAAAGATACTAATTACAAAAAAAGCAGTTGTGTATTCCAAATAAAACCCACTAACTTGGCTTTTTTCTTTTACAGGAACACACATGCAAATCCATGTATATTACAAAAACAAAGTGGTTGTGTCTTCCCAATAAAACTAATTGACTCAGCCTGTATCTTTTACATATACACATATTACAAACTACTCACCAATGTTCTCATGTCTGCTGCCTGCATCAGAGTAGCCACAGTTGACCTATTTGCATTGTGTATTGAAACTAAAGCCTCTGCCTCCTGGCTGCTGATTTCTATTGGTGCTGTTGTGGGAATCGGTGCAGTAATCACGGGAACTGTTGGCAGGACACTCACTGAAAAGGTATTAATTATTCCATTCTTAGGTTTTCATGATTTATATTCAAAGTGTACCGTACTTAATTTTGGACAAGACTTTTAGACACACAAACACCCTACCAAGTCTTTGACTTAAACTGGAAATATTCAAAAATGCTTCTGCTCATGCACAGAGGTGGGGGGCTTATGAAACAACACTTGTTGACCATGCAGTTAAGAAATAAAATCTTCCTGTCAAGTAAAAATCAAATCTTTGTAATAAAGCAAGTCCAATTTTGCAAAAAAAAAAAAAAAAAAAAAAAGGGAAGGGGATAAAATTACAACTACTATGCAATGTCAATCTGATCCTTCTACCTTTAATTCAGCACCTCCTCCATTAGAAGAATTGAAAGGGTGCCACTGCACCACTTAAAGCAGTCTTGTAACATTTTATGAACAACTAAGATGGCTACCACAACAATTATTTTTGGAATAGCAGGCATATAGATGATCTAGGTGACACAGATATAACTTGACTTCCTAGAAGGGTAAAGTGGCATTAAGGGATCATTTAAGAGAGGTACACTGTACATGTACATTGTACCACTGAAGGGGTTTTGCTCATTCCTAAAGATTCAACTGAACATCAATCATGCACTTACAGAAAGTACACTGGAAAGGTACCATGCTGAAAACATAGCCTTGTGGGCATGTCCATTTCATTCCAGCATCTGAGAGGTAGCCAGGACTCAGCTGGATACCTGGACAATCTACAGTGTCCTGGGTAAAGAGGTACAGGGAAGCTGGGCTGACAGAAGTTACAGAGGTAAGAAGATCAGATATGGTTCTCCCACAAGTTTCCAGTGCCATACTTATGGAGGTTGCAGTCACCACAGTTTCTGCATAGAAGTAAGCCTGTAACAAATCAACATCAAGTTATACAATATAAGGGAACATTCCCATAAAACTATCATACTAGCTGGATCAATCTAATTCTGCAGGGATTCTTGCTAAATTGCATTCTGTGTAATCAGCTTAATTGTCTGACTATTGTTATTTACCCCCTAGCAGTTTGAGTAGGTGTACCAGACATTTAATCCACTTACAGTACTTTGGCAAGCAGGCTCCGTAGAGTTAGATTGATCCAGCTAGTATGATGGGCTTACAGAAATGCAGTCTAAGGTGCAAATAAGAAGTGCATGTACAGGTACATTAAGAGAAGAGATGGGCATTTTTAAACTTTATCTTACTCAATCACCTATAACTTGGCATATAGATGTAACTAAAATAAATAATAATTAAATAATGTATAATGTATAAAAATTAATGTTAACTCAATTGTTTACTCAATGTACCTCTGTGGTGTTTGATGCATTGACCAGTATTTCCCCAGTATTCTTTAGTTGAACACCTGGTATTCCACCACACTCAGGCAGAAGGGCAAATATGGAAGCAGTCTCTGGATATGTGTCATCCAGTATGGCTCTAATACTCTGTGTGAAGGTGTCACGGCAAGCATATGGAAGGATTGGTTGAGAGGCATTGTTGCTCCCCATTGTACCATTGAAGGACAGGAGGAAGGATGGTATGGCTGGAGCTAAAACAAAGATTACAGAATACAATAGACTTAGAGATTCCATGTTTTAAACTATCCATGCACTTTTGTTTGTTACATGACAGTTAGAATGTGTAAAAATACTTAAATTTTAATTTAAAAAAATATATAACAATTCTAAAACTGTTAGATTGCTATAGAATATTTTTTTTTTTCGGGTGTAAAAATACTGTCTAGTTAATTTTAACCTTAAAATATATGGTTCTTTCAAAATCAGATGTGCTACTACTATTACTCACCTATAACTGTTACATTTGCTGAGTACGTCACTGTCCCAAATACATTGGAAGAGGTGCAGACGTAAGTGCCAACTGCATTTTCATCAGCAGACAGAATGGTGAGGGTAGCGTTGCTAAACTTCAACACAATGTTTTCAGATGATTCAATGATTTCACCAGAGGTGGAGCCCTAGAAAAAGGTGAGTCTCATTAATTTAGTCATCAGAATTAAAACCAAATAACAATTTTGAAATATATATTATATTTGAATAACATTCATCATAATGTGCAGTTACTGTCATTTTCTTTTTATTACAAGACAAGAATGTTTCTCCTATCTAGTTTATTGCTGTTACCCAAGCTCACCAGTACTTGCAATAACGTCATACACAGAAATGATTATTCTAAGTTGGAACACCCTAATATTTAAATGAAATTATTCTCTTCAGAATTAGATATTGAAACTAGGCAATGAGTTGGCACAAAAAACTGCACCTATTTCATTTTGAGTGGTTGCAAAAAGGCCAAATGGTTTGATTTGTTACTGATGAAGCATTTCTCTTACCTTATACCATAACACAGAATCTCCATTACCATAGCAACTGAGGGTCACATTATCTCCATAAGCAACATGGGAATCTTGGGGTGTGGACCATAATACAGGTAAGGCTGAATAATAATAATAATAATAATAATAATAATAATAATAATAATAATAATGCAAGCATTACCATATTTAAAAACTGTCACATTAAAAATGTATCATTTATTTTGTTAAAAAATCAAATTTGGTTTCATCTGTAAAGGCTACATCACCAAGATTACTTTTGTCCATAGCTTCATCATTAAATAAACAAAACTGCCATTTTCTCTTAACATAAATGATGTTCATATGACCCTATAAATCATGTACCTCCAGTATACACATCCACTGTTGCTGTATCTCTAACCCCTGCTGAGTCATTAACTGAGCATATATAGGAACCAGCATCAGCAGTGCTGATGTTCATTATCATCAAACCTCTGCTGCTGTTGACCATGTACTTGTCTCCTAAAATATCCAGATAAAATATAAGGCTAAAATAAAAAGAAGCCATGCAGTCTCCCTTCTCCGTCACTTTTCTTTAAAGATTAGCAAGGAGGATATGTGCATATTGCACCATATTGTATTACTGTACAGTGACTAAGGGAGATAGCCGTTTGCCCAAGATCTGTCTTCTTTATCATTTTTTTGTTATGTAATTTTATATAATTTTCTGTAGCATAATTTTATAAAAGTAAAATGTTTAATCAAAATTATACACAAGAATAACATCTTTTCCCCAAAAAATAACTTTACCTTCTGTCAAAACAATTGCACTGTCTTTAGTAAACTGCATTCCAAGTGGAGGTGTCCACAGTCCAACAGCTCTACATTGGATAGTGTCATCAGAATTTACCACCAAATACTGTGGACTTGGAGCATCAACGTATGGTCCTAGAAGTATGAAAGCCATGTTGTACATAACAGTGATACACAGACATGGTCAGTGAGTAACAACATCTTCTCACATCATTCTGATGAAGGGCTATGTCCAGGGTGGCCATAACTCAAGATATGAAAATATTTCAATTTGTGTTTTATATATCCTCCAACTCTCAAGATAATGAACATTTTTGCACAAATTACTGTTTAGTGATCTAAGAAACTTTCAATTCTGATAAATGATGTAATATTCTTACCTGTGCACGTAAAGCCATTGCCTGTGTAAGGTGACCTACAGAAGCAGTTTCTGGTTCCTTCCCTGACAGAGCACTCTGCATTACTGTCACACTGAACTGAAGTATCTGTAATTACTGCAGTTCCATTAACCTTTTCACAATTCCATTGCATGGAGCAATTGACTGACATCCATTTTTCTCCCAGCTAAAAACACAAGGTATTCATTACAAAGAATGTTCAGGAAAAAAAATTAAACTATTTGTAAATTGAGGTCAATTTGAAAAAAAAAGCCAGGGAGTAAAACAACAACTACTCTGGGACTACTACATAGATGCTTTAGAAATAGAGACCATAGCTTATCAATTCTGACCAAGCAGTCAGCAATTAAAATCCTACAAATAACAAGTTACAAATTTTGTGTGGGTGCCCCTGAATGTGTGTGCTGGTGTATGTATTTGTACATGTACATACCTGGTGGTAGTTGCCCCAAGAATCCACACATCCACAATGAGACTTTGGTATACACTTTGTCCCACTAAGAAGATATCCTGGTTTACACATGCAACCTGCCACATTTGCCTTCTTACATGTCAGCGGGGCAACAGGATTAGCACATGTAGCAGGGCAAGCAGAGGTGCTGGATCTGAACACTTCATCTTCACCACAGGATGGTTCTTCAACAAAAAAATTTTTTTTTGTCTACTTAGCAAATAAGTTCTGTTTTAACTATTTTACTTGTATTTATATCTAAAGATTCAATTGCAACACTACATGAATACATATGTGAAAGAATTAGATTGACATTTCTTACCTTGTTTTCACAACATGTATAAAGAATTTTATATCAGGCAAAGTTTACTTAGTTATTTTACAATTAAGAAATAAGAAAAAACTGAAAATATCAAACAATTTATATACATACCACATTGTGCTAAAGTCCAATATTGTTCTCCATAAGTTGTTCTTGGACACTGAGCTGCCAACACCTTCAAACTCCTACAAGCAGCCGCTTTAGCAGTTTCAGAATCACCATTTCTCAGAGCTTTACAAACGTCTTTGGTGCAGGCATAGTACATTTGGTCCACATCCACTATTCCACTCATTATACAGCTTGCAAATGCTGCACTACGATTGTTCTTGATTAAACCACAGAATTTCGTTGTTGCTGCAAGCTGCATTTCATTTTCAGAGCACTGGAAATCTGCTGTTTCTTGTGCACAACTAATTTGAAATGTTACAATAAGTAAATTATACATCAACATATTAAATTTATACTTATTGTACTGGCACACATAATTCACAAACACTGATAAATTTATTTTTGTTACCTTTGAATCTTTGAAAATCATAATTAATTCAATTTATTACATATGCCAGATGAAAAGGTGCTGATATGGTGCTGAAGTGAAGGCCCGTAAATGCTAAATTCAAATACAAAAGCATTCAGTATTTGTGAACAGTTACCTACCTTTCTGACAACATATAGCTTTTGCTAACCATGGAATAGATTTCTTCTTTTGTCAGGTTACTGTTTGAAGTGACAGCACTTCCATTCCTCAGGTAAATATCATCTTCTTTCAGGCCATTGAAGTTGCCACATAATCCAGTCAACTTTTCACTAAACCTTACAGTGGGCAGGGAAATGGAAACCTTGCCAAGTTGCTTATTAAAACCCATTACCAAAATCAAGGTGTCACCAGTAGAGTTCTGCCACAAAGATTCAACATAAATTGTATTCTGGGGACCCATGTATACATTATGTTTTTCATTTTCTCTCTGTAGACTAAATGGTACTGTCCTAGTTATTCCACCGACCTACAAGTAAAAACTGGGCTAGGAGCTGTGCTTATACAGTAATATAATAACTACAGAAACTTAAGGTTTTCATATAACCTGCTGACTAACTGTATTATAATTTTCTTTGAAATTTTACTTCCCATTACTCTATTCATAAACTATCATGATATATCATACCAAGAAAAGTTAAAATTTCTCAACAAAGAATATGGTAATTACTTGATCTTTTTAATTATCAAACTTTTAGATACATATCGTAATTCTATAATCACAAAATGATGTTTCTATAAAACATTTGTGGTGCTTTTACTGCATAGAACAGAACTATAAGTAGCCTGCTTTTTCATTTTGTTGCTTACACTCAAAACAAGTGTTGTAATGTTAAGAACTTATGACTAAAAATACAGTATCTGTAAAATTTACAATTTTCACCCATTAAAAAGATTGAGTAATTACCATATCAAATCATCAAAGACACAACTTTCGTACCTGAACAGTGTAGTCTTTATGGATTTTGACATTTGGCAATCCAGTAAACTCCACCTCAACCCTCTCAATAGGGGCAATATCCAGGCCCTTGTCTTCCGACTCATATGTCACAAAAATGTTGACTGGGTAGTCCGTATTAGACAGGGGAAGGACAAAATTGTAAGTGCAATTGCCTCTGAAGCTCATAAAGGTCTGGTCAAAGGTTATGAGATGTGGATCTCCATAAGCCATACATGTTGATCCAGCNTAAAAAAAAAGCCAGGGAGTAAAACAACAACTACTCTGGGACTAATACATAGATGCTTTAGAAATAGAGACCATAGCTAATCAATTCTGACCAAGCAGTCAGCAATTAAAATCCTACAAATAACAAGTTACAAATCTTGTGTGGGTGCCCCTGAATGTGTGTGCTGGTGTATGTATTTGTACATGTACATGCCTGGTGGTAGTTGCCCCAAGAATCCACACATCCACAATGAGACTTTGGTATACACTTTGTCCCACTCAGAAGATATCCTGGTTTACACATGCAACCTGCCACATTTGCCTTCTTGCATGTCAGTGGGGCAACAGGATTAGCACATGTAGCAGGGCAGGCAGAGGTGCTGGATCTGAACACTTCATCTTCACCACAGGATGGTTCTTCAACAAAAAACATTTTTTTGTCTAGTTAGCAAATAAGTTCTGTTTTAACTATTTTGCTTTTATTTATATCTAAAGATTCAATTGCAACACTACATGAATACATATGTGAAAGAATTAGATTGACATTTCTTACCTTGTTTTCACAACATGTATAAAGAATTTTATATCAGGCAAAGTTTACTTAGCTATTTTACAATTAAGAAATAAGAAAAAACTGAAAATATCAATTAATTTATATACATACCACATTGTGCTAAAGTCCAATATTGTTCTCCATAAGTTGTTCTTGGACACTGAGCTGCCAACACCTTCAAACTCCTACAAGCAGCCGCTTTAGCAGTTTCAGAATCACCATTTCTCAGAGCTTTACAAACGTCTTTGGTGCAGGCATAGTACATTTGGTCCACATCCACTTTTCCACTCATTATACAGCTTGCAAATGCTGCACTACGATTGTTCTTGATTAAACCACAGAATTTCGTTGTTGCTGCAAGCTGCATTTCATTTTCAGAGCACTGGAAATCTGCTGTTTCTTGTGCACAACTAATTTGAAATGTTACAATAAGTAAATTATACATCAACATATTAAATTTATACTTATTGTACTGGCACACATAATTCACAAACACTGATAAATTTATTTTTGTTACCTTTGAATCTTTGAAAATCATAATTAATTCAAATTATTACATATGCCAGATGAAAAGGTGCTGATATGGTGCTGAAGTGAAGGCCCATAAATGCTAAATTCAAATACAAAAGCATTCAGTATTTGTGAACAGTTACCTACCTTTGTGACAACATATAGCTTTTGCTAACCATGGAATAGATTTCTTCTTTCGTCAGGTTCCTGTTTGAAGTGACAGCACTTCCATTCCTCAGGTACAAATCATCTTCTTTCAGGCCATTGAAGTTGCCACATAATCCAGTCAACTTTTCACTAAACCTTACAGTGGGCAAGGAAATGGAAACCTTGCCAAGTTGCTTATTAAAACCCATTACCAAAATCAAGGAGTCACCAGTAGAGTTCTGCCACAAAGATTCAACATAAATTGTATTCTGGGGACCCATGTATACATTATGTCTGTCATTTTCTCTCTGTAGGCTAAATGGTACTGTCCTAGTTATTCCACCCACCTACAAGTAAAAACTGAGCTAGGAGCTGTTCTTATACAGTAATATAATAACTACAGAAACTTAAGGTTTTCATATAACCTGCTGACTAACTGTATTATAATTTTCTTTGAAATTTTACTTCCCATTACTCTATTCATAAACTATCATGATATATCATACCAAGAAAAGTTAAAATTTCTCAACAAAGAATATGGTAATTACTTGATCTTTTTAATTATCAAACTTTTAGATACATATCGTAATTCTATAATCACAAAATGATGTTTCTATAAAACATTTGTGGTGCTTTTACTGCATAGAACAGAACTATAAGTAGCCTGCTTTTTCATTTTGTTGCTTACACTCAAAACGAATGTCGTAATGTTAAGAACTTATGACTAAAAATACAGTATCTGTAAAATTTACAATTTTCACCCATTAAAAAGATTGAGTAATTACCATATCAAATCATCAAAGACACAACTTTCGTACCTGAACAGTGTAGTCTTTATGGATTTTGACATTTGGCAATCCAGTAAACTCCACCTCAACCCTCTCAATAGGGGCAATATCCAGGCCCTTGTCTTCCGACTCATATGTCACAAAAATGTTGACTGGGTAGTCCGTATTAGACAGGGGAAGGACAAAATTGTAAGTGCAATTGCCTCTGAAGCTCATAAAGGTCTGGTCAAAGGTTATGAGATGTGGATCTCCATAAGCCATACATGTTGATCCAGCTGAAAATAAAAACAGAAAAAGGCGTACATGTACATCATCCTATGCTATTTTAGCTAATTTTGTCTGGTATCTAGAATAAGAGGAAAATACAGCAAATTTTTTCATATGGTAAAATATGTAAATAAAAGTGATCAATGCTGCTCTTTAGTTAAAGGTTCATATAATTTGAAAACATTTCACATGACTGAGGTAAGAATCTTTTATCATCAATGCAAACATACTTCAGAACAACCTTACATCTACATGCACTATTAAATAGCCACTATAGAATATCTAAATATGCGCACAATTTGATAATTTATTGTTTAATTAATGATTTTTAATTTTTCTTATTTCAAGTTGACTAATTAATATTCCTTTTCTCAAAGAAACTAGTGAGACTCTTTCCAACCTGTACACATGTCACCACTACCAATGTCGTCTTCTGCAGCACAATAACATCCTCGGATTCCATCCACAACTCTGCACTCAGACTGTGAGTTACAGCTGGCATTGTTTGCCACAATAGAAGGTTGTCCCATCCTCAGTTCACATCCATGCCATGTTGAGCAGTCTTCTGACATCCAGTATTCATTCAACTAGAGTTTAGAAATCCAGGAAAAGTTAATACTTATTAAAAATAAAGATTATTGATGCAAAAAGAAAACAAGTTCTGTGTTGATGTCCTCATTATTCTATCTTACGGTGAAGCATAAATAAGTTAAAAACAAGTATCAAAAAGACCTTTATTTTGTATTATATAAGTAATAAGTCAAAACCTTTAAAAGGCTCTACCATCAACAGGTGTTTGCTTGTAAATATCAAACTAACATGTGACTCATGGACATGACCAAGTCAAGTATTATAAGTTTACAATTCCATGCTAACTACTCCTAATTCACAGCAGTGCCTTTAGAATAAAAGCTTTATAGAAAATAATGACTGGAGAAAGCAACACAGTAACGACCAACTTGCCATGCTTTCCATGAACTAGTAATAACAAAGTAAAAGAGAAAAAGCAGGCACTTTCCCAACTACACGTAGTAAACAAGGACTCAACTTAATCCTAAAATACCTCATGATAGTTCCCAAAGCTGTCAGTGCATCCACATTCACTCTCAGGCACACAACGATAGCCACTTCGAATGTACCCATCTTCACAGGCACAGCCCTCTGTTGGTAGTGAGGTGCAGTCCCCAGCAGCATTTGGACTGTGACATGTGGCTGGACAGGAGGTGGTACTAGTTGAGTATACTTCATTTGGACCACAGGATAAGCCTAAAGAAAACATCACCAGTTGATGAAATTAATAAATTTTACAGTTTGTGTCTAATAACAATACAGATGGTCTGCATGTATCTTGTACCCTTAAAGCTACGAAATAAATGTCATTGAAATAATATGTAGGGAATAACTGGATTATGCCAGGTTTCATCCTTAACCTACATTTTTGGACAGTGTCACTTAGTAATCACCATAAGTTGGAAGCAGAAAAAATTAAAAAAAAGAACAAATCCATACTCACTGCAATTTGAGACACTCCTCCATGCTTCAGTGTAGCCATATCTTCTACACTCGCTTGCAAATGTCTCCAGGACTTTACAGGCCATCTGCTTGGCTCTGCCTGTGTTGTTTACACCAAGTTCAGCACACACATCAGCCTGGCAGAGACTGTACATGCCTTCTATATCAATGTTAGCATTGTGGATGCATTCAGAGAACACGCTACTGCTATCTCTCAACAGTCCACAGTATTCGGTTGTTTTTGCCATGTCTAACTGATCCACTGTGCATGTAATGTTGGGAACAGGCTCAGCTTCACCAAAATGACTAAAACAATAGAGCACACATGCTATTAACCAAATAACTTATATGTCCCCTCCTCTTCCCTCCCTCAGTGTAAATAAATTTTATCAAATTGAATGGAATTTTCTCACGATGAAACAAAAGTGATAATTTGTTATTATGGTTAAGTACATGTATCATGAAAATCATGACCAGTTAGCATGACATGAGTCAAGTAATTTACCTGAACTGCAGGTCAAGAATGCGATAACTGTTGCCTATCTGTGCATACACATTTTGTATATTTTCACCAACATTGCTGACATCAGTTCCATTGGCCAGCCTCAAATCATTGGTCTTATCTCCATCAAAATTTCCACATATGCCACAGGTTCCTGAAGCATATTTTCTTGGTACCATGACCTTAAGCATTTGGTCACCATCGTAAGTAACCATAAACCCAGCTGTAGTGACCAGCTGTATCTGACCCTGTGAGTTGTAGGTGATGTTTACACCTGTACCTGGTATGGTGTAAGGTAGAGCTAATACAAGTTCACTGTTCACCTGTGAGAAAAAAGAAAGAGCAAGACATCTTATATACTACAAAAACATTCCATTATGTCAGAAGTAACATTCCCTACATGATGGATAATTGACAATGAATATCTCCCGAATTATCTTTAAAGTTGAAAATAATGCATTTGGATTAGTTACCTGTGTTTGTATTAAAATGACAGTGATCTATAATTCTACCCATTCTTTTGGTACACGCATACATGTGTCCATGTGTAAATGCCTATTTATAGGCATGAGGGTAGGGTATTTTGGAGAAAAAGATCGACTGGAAAACTATTTTTCTTCTACTCTTAATCCACGCAGCTAGTTCAAATACAGTAACACTCACACTCAGTTGAACACTGAAAGAACTTTCCCATTAAATCAATTACCTTAACAGACTTTCCAATGCCAAACACGATGGTGTTATTGTCAACTGAAGTTTCTACAATGATTTTATACTCCATTCTGCTTATTCCAACAGTAGTCTCCGTTCTCGTGGCAACTTGGAATCTATTCATGTCTGAGGAGACTCCACACAAACTGATGAACTGGTACTTAGCAGTCCCTTGGAAAGAAATGATTTGGCCATCCAGGGTCATGTAGTTGATTCCACTAAAGGCAGTGCAAACCCCAGGTTGTTCTGTATATCAACAAAGAACAAAAAAAAAGAATTTAATATATGATTTATAAAATGACATGCATAATCGGAATTTTGATATCAATAAGCAATATCTTTTTTGAAAACCTATATTGACCTATCTATAGTTGGACACAGGTAAAAATCTTAAAATTGTAACAAACATGAGCCACCTTTGTCAATTTGTTGTCAGTTGAACTAATCAAATGCTTGTAATAACTGAAAGTAATGAATTTGTATTGGTCTTACTTACATGTATATCAGACATGAGCCTGGGTTAAAAAAAAACCTCCGATAATTTATCGTGGGACCCAAGCTCATGTCTGTTATATACAGAATTATGACTTTTCATTACTTATAATACTTACCTTCCACTGGTGGCACAGTTGGAGGAGGTCGTGTTGTAGCTATCTCTGTGATATTTGTCACTAAAAGAAAAGGAAATATGTAAGGTTTAGCAACTGTCATTGTTATCAAAATGTTATCAATTTCAGATACAATATCAATAAAACAAACATCTTGGTATAAAAAAAAGAACAAAATCACATCCATTTTGTTATATATGAATTAATTCAAATATAACAATAAAAAATCTTACATTACTCATTTTTCAGAAAATGCAACAAAATTGCAGTTTTGTAACAATGAATGTGTACCAATCTGAAAAAGAGGAGTATGTGCCACTTCAACCTTGTGAAACCATTTCCATTGTGTGTGAAATAGTTGAAAGCCTGGATTTACACCTAAGGTGGCCATGTCGCTGCAACTGCTGTATGAGTGTCTCTAATGCAAATCTTATACAGTAATTCAGGATTTCCAAATAACAGCACTCAAAATGTGTAGATCTGTCGTTCAAAATCCAATCAATAAAAGAACATATGCAGTCAGTGGAAGTCACCATTTAAAAAAGTGCAAGTTGGAAACCCTGAAATCCTGAACCCTGAAAATCTGCCATGATCATGTGTAAAAATATAGAACCATGAGCCCTAAGTTTACCTCTTGTAACTCCTCAGTTTATCTTACTGTGCTTATTTTTTCAGAGATGGTACATTTCTATCACAGATTGCTACCACTTGCGTGTTCAAGCAATTCCACTGATGTATTTTTACCCTTTCTGCTT